TGTTGAGGTTTGACCATGTTACCTCCCGAGCCAACGGAAGGATTCTAACCAAGATGTGCCATGAACAGAGCTGCTCACAGCTCTGAGCTTCTATTTTTTTTTTTTAAGGGAAAAGTGTTTGTTCCAGTAATTTGTAACCTGCTCCACTTTCTGCGTGTTCACCTCTCCTATTCCCTGCTCCAGCCCCTCCACCTGATATTCTCTGAAGCTTACAATGTTGTGAACTCTCTGGTCCAATTCCTACTCTCCTTGCAGTTTATACATCTGGAGATTTCATTCACAGCCCGCTCTCAACCTCTCTGTCTCTGTCACCTTTCTTCACCATGGCACTCGTAGCTGAGTTTCACCACTGGCTGCAGGATGTGTACATATATATATATATATATATATATATATAATTTGCCCTCTTGGACTCCCAGTACCTTCACTGTAAAACAGGCAGAAGAAGCTTATGTGGTCCATGGAACAGTCATGTAGGTGACTACGACAGATAACCAGAGCAAATGCTTATACTGTCTCGATCATGTTATTTATCGGTAGTACGCAGGTCAGTGGCATATGACCCCGCCGGTAATACTTTTGTCAGCCCGTCGTTGGGGGCAGGGAGCCGTTGCCATGCCTGCTTCTGCAGTCCTGGGCCCCCTTGCAATGGGCCTAAGAAGCTGGTCCAGTTGCGAGTGTGAAGGTTTCAAGCGGAGAGGAGACAGGAAGTCCTGTCTCCAGGACCACACTCCCGTTGAGGAGCTCAGATCAGGGAAGAGAGATCCCAGAGCAGGAGGGTGTGTGATGCATCTCTCAAGAGCAGAGTCCGAGCTGCAGAAGGCCTGCCCGTGTGTCCAGGAGAAGGAAGAGATGGAAGGGAAGCTGGTGGAAGACAGTCTCAGGTCAAGGATCCCAGCGCAAGGGGCAGGATGTGCTGACCTGACTCAGGGAGGCAGAAGATGCTTAGACCACAATGTTGTTTTCATTGAGTCACTCAGTCCTGTTTGACTCTTTGCAACCCCGTGGACCGTAGCCCCGCCAGGCTCTTCCGTCCATGGGATTTCCCAGGCAAGAATACTGAATCGGGTTGCCATTCCCTTCTCCAGGGGATCTTCCTGACCTAGGGATCGAACCCAGGTCTCCCGCATTGTAGGTGGATTCTCTACCAGCTGAGCCACAAGGGAAGCCCAAGAATACTGGAGTGGGTAGCCTTTCCCTTCTCCAGGGGATCTTCCCGACCCAGGGATCAAACCCGGGTCTCCTGCGCTGGCAGGAAGATTCTTGTCCATCTGAGCCACCACAGAAACCCCCCTCAGACCATGACACTGCTGAAGGAGGTGGTCAAGATCTGGCTTTGACCTAGTCTCCAAGGTTGGGAGTCCATTCGCTTTAGCCCCATGTCTCTTTGGAAGGAACCTCGCTGGTTCCCATCTCTGGGGCGTGAGCGCGGGGCACTCAAATTGGGGTCAGGCTGTGGTCTGCCAGACCTGGTCCTTGCAAGTCCCAGCAGGACCCAACCCCACATGGGACAGGTGAGGAACACCCTTCCCAGACAGGACGACAAGGGGAGAAGTTGTCCCGATGCCCCAGACCCTGCCCCCAGCGTTGCCATAACAACATACTTCTCAGCATCTGGCCCCCGGTTCTTGCTCCTGTTGTTAACCCTCTTTATGGCCCTCCCAGGCAGCTCAGTGGTAAGGAATCAGTCTGCCAATGCTGGAGATGCAAGTTCGATCCCCGTATCTCCAGCAAGATGTCCTGGAGAAGGGAATGGTTACCCCACTCCAGTATTCGTGCCTGGGAAGTCTCATGGACAGAGGAGCCTGCTGGGCCACAGCCCCTGGGCTCACAAAGACTCAGACATGATTGAGCGTCTGAACACGGCACACCCTGCGTATGGCCAGCACCTTGGTCTGCCTGACGCCCTGTGAACTTTGTCACCAGCTTTTATGAAACACCGGGCTTTCCCATAATGGCCTCTTTCTTGAACACGTTATTGCCAGTAATTAAACCATGTCCGCTGTCCATCTTTGGCCCCCACCCAGTCTATTAAATTCTTATTTCTCTGATGTCAAGCCTACAAAAGACCATGCCTGACCTCAGACCAGGCTATTCATACACAGCTCCAGCCCTTATTGTTGGAGTGGTGGACATTGATAATGTAGGGAGATATCAGTGCCCAGTGAGGATGGGTGCAGCTCAGCGAGGGGGCAAGGAGGTTAATACCAGATTATCTAAAATTGTTAGGGGCATTTAGCGATTTTGGAGAGTTAAGCTTGTAAAGGAGACTCGAGTTAGTATGATGGAGACACTTAATGGGGAAAGCTTTCCTGCAGGACTGAGATCTTTTAGCCAAATGATTTTTAGATCAAAGAGGGAAATTTCTAATCCTAAACAGTTGAGATCTATCCACTGCTTTTGAGAATCCTGCATTAGGAAGATGTGTTATTATGAACGGAAGAGTAAATATCCATACAATAGAATCTGACAGCAAAAAAAGCATGAATGAAGTATTGATGTATGTGACAGTATATGGATGAAGCAAAAATACTGTTGCCCGGTTGCTAACTTGCGTCTGACTCTTTGCGACCCCATGGACTGCAGCACACCAGGCTTCCCTGTCCATCACCAACTCCTGGAGCTTGCTCAAACTCATGTCCATCGAGTTGGTGATGCCATCCAACCATCTTATCCTCTGTCGTCCCCTTTTCCTCCTGCCTTCAGTTTTTCCCAGCATCAGGGTCTTTTCTAACGAGTCGACTCTTTGCATCAGGTGGTCAAGGTACTGGGGCCTCGGCTTCAGCATCAGTCCTTCCATTGAACATTCAGGACGGATTTCCTTTAGGATTGACTGGTTGGATCTCCTTACTGTCCAAGGGACCCTCAAGAGCATAATGTAAAACATGATGAAGCAAGATAATCCAGACACAGAAGACTACATATGTTCTGATTCCATTTACATGAAGTGTCCAGAGTAGGGAAATTTCTAGAGAAAGAATGTATGTTAGTGGTTGTCAGAGTCTGAGGAAAGGGACTGCAAAATGGACAGCTTCGTGTCAGTGGTGAAGAAAAAGTCCAACAATTAGTGATGATGGTGGCACTGCCTTACTACTAAAACCAGTGAATTATACAGTTTAAATGAGTCATTTTTGCATATGTGAATTTTATATCAGTAAATTTATAATAAGAATATTTTTGGAAAGGTATATTATTGGTTCAGTGTTCTTTTGCATGCAAACAAAGGTGATACTATTCTATTCACTATGATATTCTTAAAATTAAAAGTTTAGGCATTCAGACATAGGTAATGGGCTACTTTAATCTCTTAGCCAACCTTGAACTTCAGAGAACAGGAGGTCACAGCATCTTAATTACCAGGTGACCATTTCCGTTAGCTCTCCCAACCTATCCCTGCCTAGCACAGTCTGATATACAGTATCATAATCCAACCAAAATTTTAGTCATGTACGATGACAAGTTTCAAAGAGAAATTCAGAATCTAGGGATAATAAATCATAGTCCCACAGAACTGTAATTCAAAAGGACGCATACACCCCTGTGTTCATAGTGCCACTGTCTACAATAGCCAAGATATGGAAGCAATGTAAATATCCATCAACAGATGAGTGGGTAAAGAAAATTATACATACAAATAAAATACTAGTCAGCCACAGGGGGGATAAATGAGATAATGTCATTGTCAGCAACATGGATGGATGCAAGGATGATCATGCTAAGTGAAGTGAGTCAGAGAAAGATCAATACCGTATGATGTCACTTACACATAGAATCTAAAATACGACACGAATGAACTTATCTATGAAACGGAAAGGGACTCACAGACACAGAGGACAGACTGCTGGTTGTCAAGGGGGTGGGGCGGTTGAGAGGGACGAACTGGGAGTTTGGGATTAGCAGATGGAAACACACACATATGTAGGATGGATAAACAAGGTTCTACCGAAGAGCACAGGAAACTATACAGTTCAGTTCAGTCGCTCAGTCACGTCCGACTCTTTGCGACCCCATGGACTGCAGCATGCCAGGCCTCCCTGTCCATCACCAACTCCCGGAGCTTGCTCAAACTCATGTCCATCGAGTCGGTGATGCCATCCAACCATCTCATCCTCTGTCGTCCCCTTCTTCTCCTGCCCCCAATCCTTCCCAGCATCAGGGTCTTTTCCAATGAGTCAGTTCTTTGCATCAGGTGGCCAAAGGATTGGAGCTTCAGCTTCAGCATCAGTCCTCACTCACTCAATATCCTCTGATAAAGCATAATGGAAAAGAATATGAAAAAATGTGTGTATATGTGTGTGTGTGTGTATATGTATGTATAACAGAGTCTCTTTGTACAGGAGAAATTAACACAATATTATAAATCAGCTATACTTCAGTAAAATAAATGGAATGAATGGCTTTGAATAAATCCTAATCCTGGTCTTTGGTATACATGTTGAGTGGTTTGTGCATATCCCCTCACTTAGTTATACAACTGACCACATGCAGGAGGTAATGTCCTTATGCTTTACAGATGGATAAACTGAGAGACAGACGTAGTAAGTCCCTTGTCCAGAGTCACACATCCAGGGAAGGGGGAAAGAGAGAGAGAGAGAGAGAGAAAACGTGTTTCCCATGGGATCTCACCTCCAGGCTCAAACTCTTTTTACTGATTGGTTGAAATTGAAAAGCCTCCAGGAAGACCCCTCTGTGGGTCATTTTCCTGCTGGTCTGTATTTCATCACTCAGCACGCCCCTGAGAGATGGCTCACACACTTTTCCTTCCCGAACAGCTTGAAATTCTTCATTATTTTATATGTATTTGTATCATGAAGTCAAGGGCAAAACACGATTTCCATTAGAAACCCACTTTTCTGTTTCAGGAAGAGAGACATAGCAGCGTGGCAAGTTGGTCTTTCGTTAGGGCTGATATTTTAAAATTATATTAATGCACACAGGTGTATGCAGTTTTCAAATAGAAAAGTATTTAATGACTCAATGTTTCTTTTTTCTTTTTGCAGAACAATGGTTCCCTGGTTTGGTGCCAGAATCACAAGCAATGTTCAAAGGTATGTTCCCGACAACTGTATCAGTATTTTTTTTTAATTAATTTTAGAATAAGTGTAAAGTCACAGGAAGCCGCAAAGTTAGTAGAGAGAAATCACATGTACTGTTCACCCTCTTTCCACCAATGTTTATACCTTATATATTTGTAGCACCGTAAGACAAGCAGAAAATCATCATTGGTACAAGGGATGTATTAATATAGTTCTGTAAGGTTTTTATCACATATATAGATTCCGTTAATGCTGCAATCAAGATATATGTATTAATATTTCTATATATTACCTTGTTTCTCTCTCCATTCTCTAGTTATGTTAGTCAAAAATGTTTTTAAGGAGAAAACATCTTCTGATTCCACCGGAAGACTTAATGCATTTGACTTATAGCTAAGTTATTTTGTATGTGTTTCCTTGTGTTCAGGAACTGCTAAGTAATTCGAGTCTTTCCGTGAGCAGTCTGTTTTCTGAGTACTTCTCATTGCACACATTATTATTCTCAGTTGTTCACATTATTCTCACATTATTCTCAATCGTATGTTTGATAGCATAAAATTTCTATTCACATTATTCTCAATCGTAAAGTTCACATTATTCTCAATCGTATGTTTGATAGCATAAATTTCTCAGTCCCCAAACATCATAAGCTATAAGGACCTGTATGTGTGTATATATGTAATATACATGTAGGTATATGCTTCAGCTCTAGTCTGAAAGTTGGTTTTATATTCAGATAGTATAAGTGAATACAGTTGAAACCTGCTATACATACCGGAACGCTTTGCGATCGTAGTAGTTTGATGAGATTCCTTTCGTGGGTGCTACTATTAGACTGAAAATTGAAGCATTCGTTTATTTTACAGTCAAATTTGTATAATCATGTGAATGTGAAGTAATTTGGTGAAAGCAAGCTGTGCTTACCTCTGGCTCTCTAGATCCTGGGCAGAAGTGGAATGTCGGGTTTACGATCCTTTTCCTTTTTATATAGTATCGTAAACATTGGCCCTGATAAGACATTTTCTGGTATCTGCTATATTAATTGTTCTTCAATTAGTGTTTGGGTAATTTGTTTATGTCATCACTGCAGAAAAAGATTGTGTGTGTGTGTGTGTGTGTGTGTGTGTGTAAAAATATATGGCTACGTGACTAAATTTCATAAGCAGTTTTTTTTCCAGTTTTTTGGGTATTACATGATGGTAATTTTTTGTATCAGTATTATTTATACTTAGCACCCCTTTTATCCTTACCCCATCAAGAAATTAATTCTTTCTTGTACATTTGAAACTTGAATGGAAGAGATTCATTTGAACCGCTTTTAAAATACCCTAATTAAAGAACATTGCAACTCTGGGGAATACAGATCGTTGAACCATATTTCATAATTGAATGATCAAGGCTGACACAAGAGACTGAATTTCACAAGAACGGAAATCAATTCCTTTTGCCTGAAAGCAAAAATGAATCAATAAGTCACGGCTAACTCCAGCAGAACCTTTGGAATATATTGCAAAGCTGACATAAATTTCAGGGTTGTCTTTAGTCTGAATCCGTGGGGATGAACCTTACATGTTAATCACAGTTTATCTCCTTTGGATATTATCATCACCGGGTACATTCGCGGATAATTAGTTTGCATTTCTTTTGAGACTTTGAAGCACTGTGTAAGCTTTTCCTCTTGATCTTCTGGTTAATGAAGTGAAGGGTAAGCGATGATAACTCCATTTTACACATGGGGAAATTCAAGCACATACATATTGGATAACGGTCGTGAAATAACTCAGCAAATCAGTTGTGGTGGTTTGTTCAGTTACTAAGTCGTGCCTGACTCTGTCATCCTATGAACAGTGGCCCGCCAGGATCCTCTGTCCATTGGACTTACCAGGTGAGCAGATCGATAGAGGCAACTCGAGTTGGAAATGCCGTCTCATGCGTGGCCTTGAATAAAGATCTACAACTTTTTTAAACCGTTTTGAACAAATATTGGGACAGAAGAGTTAAAAAAAAAAACCCACCAAGTCAAAAAGTTATGCTGATGAGATAACTGACTGTATGTTAAAAATAAAGTTTACATAATATTTTATAGAAAGTTGTTCAGTGGCTAAGTTGTGTCCAACTCTTTGCAGTCCCATGGACTGCAGCACGCCAGGCTTCCCTGTCCTTCTCTATCTCCCCGAGTTTGCTCAAACTCATGTCCATTGAGTCAGTGATGCCATCCAACCATCTCATCCTGTCACCCCCTTCTCCTCCTGCCTTCAGTCTTTGCCAGCATCAGGGTCTTTTCAAATGAGTCAACTCTTTGCATCAGGTGGCCAAAGCATTGGAGTTTCAGCTTCAGCATCAATCCTTTCAATGAATATTCAGGACTGATTTCCCTTATAATGGACTGGTTGGTTCTCCTTGCAGTCCAAGAGACCCTCAAGAGTCTTCTCCAACACCACACTTCAAAAGCATCAACTCTTTGGTGCTCAGACTTCTTTATGGTCCACCTCTCACATCCATACATGACCACTGGAAAGACCATAAGACCTTTGACTCTACAGACCTTTGTTGGCAAAGGGATGTCTCTGCTTTTTATAGAAAGTACACAGTTTCTAATTAGTTCTGATTGTGTCTGCAAAACTTGTCACCTTCAGGATGGCTCCAGAACATGGGTTCTCCTTCCCATCTAGTTGCCCGCCTTGTCCCATCTGCCAGCATCTCTTGCCTGGACCAGTCCACGAGAATGCTCTCTGGTCTCCCAGATTCTACTGTGTGAACGTGGGTGTTGGAAAGACGCTTTACACGTGTAATCTGAATCATACTGCCATTTGCCTCATGCCCTTTAATATCTAAGCATCTCCTTCAGTGTAAAACACTATCTCATCTGCCTGTGGTCTCTCCCCTATGTTCAACCCTTATCAATCTGTCTTTTCCCTCCTCCTAGAAAGCTTCTCCCAAAGGCACCCAGCTCACCACACACCACCCCCTCCACCCCACCCCACCCCCTGCCATTCACGTCTCAGCACAAATGCCACCTTCTCAGCCTTGCCCTCCCATATCGCCTCCCACACCTTTACAGTGTCCTCGGCCATATTACACCCTCGTCACTATATATACCTATTTCTTTGTCTCTGCAGGTCTGTCTCCTTCACCAGAAAAGAAGCTTCAGGCAACCATTGATTGTATCAGCTTTGTTCATTGTGGTATCTTGAAGCCTAGAACCGTGTTTGGGTACAGAGGCGTTGCTTACCGAGCATTTGTCTTTTCTTTTTTTAACTTTTTATTTTGTATTAGGGTATAGCTGATTAACAAGCAATGTTGTGATAGTTTCAGGTGAATAGTGAACTGTATATGCATGCATACACATGCATCCATTCTCTCCCAAACTCCACTCCCATCCCGGCTGCCACATGACATAGAGCAGACTTCCCTGTGCTGGCCAGCAGGTCCTTGCTGGTTCTCCATGTTAAACACAGCCGTGTGTCCACGTCCATCCCAGACTCCCTGACTGTCCCTTCCCCATCCTTCCCCCTGGTGACCATCAGGTTATCACAGAGTATTGAGCAGAGTTCCCTGGGCTGTCCAGCAGGTCCTTGCTGGTTCTCCATGTTACATACAGCCGTGTGTCCATGTCCATCCCAGACTCCCTGACTATCCCTTCCCCCATCCTTCCCCCTGGTGACCATCAGGTTATTACAGAGTACTGAGCGGAGTTCCCTGTGCTGGCCAGCAGGTCCTTGCTGGTTCTCCATGGTAAACACAGCCGTGTGTCCACGTCCATCCCAGACTCCCTGACTGTCCCTTCCCCCATCCTTCCCCCTGGTGACCATCAAGTTATTACAGAGTACTGAGCGGAGTTCCCTGTGCTGGCCAGCAGGTCCTTGCTGGTTCTCCATTTTAAATATAACAGAGTACATGTCTATCCCAAACTCACTGACTTACCTTCTCCCTGGCAAAAAAAGTTTGTTTTCTAGGTCTGTTGGTCTCTTTCTGTTTTGTAAGTAGTTCATTTGTATCATTTCTTTGTAGATTCCACATATATGGTGTGTCATACTGTATTTCTCCCTCTCCATCTGACGTAGTTTCACTTAGCATGACAATCTCGAGGTCCATAGATGTTGCTGCAGATGGCGTAATTTCATTCTTTGTAATGGCGAGTAATATTGCATGTTATGTATGTGCCACAGCTTCTATATCCTTTCTCCTGTTGGTGTATGTTTGAGTTGTTTCCATGTCTTTGCTGTTGTGAATAGTGCTGCAGTGAAGACTGGGGTGCATGTACCCTCTTGGGTCATGTTTTTCTCTGGGTATATGCCCAGGAGTGGGATTTCAGGGTCATGTGCGTATGCTAAGTTGCTTCAGTCATGTCTGACTGTTTGTGACCCCAGGGACTGTAGCCCACCAGCCTACTCTGTTCATGGGATTTTCCAGGCAAGAATACTGGAGTGGGTTGCCATTTCATTTCTCCAGGGGGGCACGGCCATAGTTCTATTTTTAGTTTTTTAAGGAACCTCCATACTGTTCTCCATAGTGGCTGTACCAAGTTACATCCCCACCAACAGTGCAGGAGGGTTCCCTTCTCCCCACACCTTCTCCATCATGTATTGTTTGTGGATATTTTCTATGAAAGCCATTCTGGCTGATGCTCATTAAGTATTTGTGAATGATCCATGAATGAAATGTATACATTAAAAAAAGAGAGAGAAATGTATACATTACATTTTCTTCCTCTGCCAAAGTACATCCTTACTGTACTACCTTCAGGAAGAAAAAAGGTTATATAATCCATTTTGTACCTGAGCAATGTAGCATAATCATTTACTTAGTTTAGTTCAGTCATTCAGTCTTGTTTGACTCTTTGCAACCTTATGGACCACAGCATGCCAGACTTCCCTGTCCATCACCAACTCCTGGAGCTTGCTCAAACTCATGTCCGTTGAGTCAGTGATGCCATCCAACCATCTCATCCTGTCGTCCCCTTCTCCTCCTGCCTTCAGTGTTTCCCAGCATCAGGGTCTTTACCAATGAGT